TGTCGTGTGTTTGTTGGTCATCTATATTCTACGATACAATGACATGGGCGTGTTGCCGTTCAGATTTGAGGATATAGCTGATAGAAGGAAGTTAGCAAATGAACTCTGCGACGATTTTCCAACCTAGGGCGTCAACCTGAGAAGGGTTGTAGGCGTACTGGTGTAAGTCCTACAGTTCTTCAAAGGGTAGCGCATCAATGAGCAGTCCAATGTGCTTGGTGTATGATCTTGTACATATGTTCATATTGTATATACTGAATTGATATCATTTATCATCTAGCTGTTGGTAATTCTGTTTGTGTCCTGACATTCCACAAATTACAATCGTCAGCCTGAGAAGGGTTGTAGGCGTACTGTTGTAAGTCCTGCAATTCTTTAAAGGAATTCCATCGAGACATGATCCGCGAGGTTATTTGTACTGTTTGTGTATACGTGTGGTGTGTCTTCGCAATTTGTGATTTTGGATCAGTTGTGTTTACTTGTTGTTTTCGTACCTCGTTGTTATTACGTAATTTTCTTAAAATTTTCGTCGTGATTACTTCTGAAGTTGTGTCCACTCTTCTACATCCATGAATGAATTGATTGATGTTAAGGACAGCAGATGGGTCGTATACGCCGGGAGGCTATGCTATTGCTGAGAATGAAATGCACACGGAGATAATTGTTAGCTGCGGTCCGACACGCCGGGGAGAAAGAGTGTAAACGACTGAGGCTCGCATACTTCACCGTTACTAGAACTGAGGCAGAATGAGTGACAAGCGATTTCAATGGTAATTGGTAATGAGTAGATAAGAGGATGTGCGTAGAGTATCGTGAGGTGGTGCTATGGTCACTTTGCATTCTGCAAGAGTCATTCTAGCAAGCGGCGATTGTGTTGCAAGATGTCAAGAGGAGGTCTCTGTCTGGAGGCGCAGGTCGTCATTGATGTGTGAGATTGTGCTGTGGGTATGCTTGTGGTGTGTTGGCTTTTCTGTTTGTTTTCCATTTCAGCTCTGTCCGTGTGACCCAGGTTCTCGCAATGGCATCCAAGTCAACGTGCATTGGTCGTAAAGCAAAAAAGGGTTGGATCCCTTTTTTGCCGGGGAGTGTCAATGGAGTTGAAGATTGAACGATCAATTCTTGGTTGTTTGCTTAAAATCAACTTCCCCAATTTTCGCGGAGGCATCAATACGACAGTCATCGTCTCATCGGTCGCTGTTCAGAAAGAAGAGTGAAACATCGTCAGAAGTAACATAACGATTTATTATTGTAATATTTGTTTACAGACCTTAGTTGCTTAGTTCGTTTATTCCTTTTATATGTTGGTGTAACAATAAAGAAATAACAAGCAGCAGATCGGTGTTTTGGTTTTTGCGTCCGTTATTACTAAGCGTTTCTGAAACTCAAAGGAACAGCGTGGGCCCGAGCGTAGCGAGAGCTGGGCATTAACGGTTTATGAGACGAGACTGACAGCATTGTATAGACGTTGTTTCATAGTTTGCTGTGCATAATTTTATCCGCCTCCTTCAGCCCTCATTTAGGTTTTCTCGATATATCCAGCACAGGCTAAGTGTCATATCTATTTCACTTCTTTGGTGTCGAGTAGATCGAAGAAGATTCGGCAATTAACTCACTTTCTCAATCAATTCTATTACTTTCAAAACTTCTTGCCAATTTCACTCTGTCATGCAAATGAATGAATTCCTATAGCCTAGATCTTTTCTAGATAATTTAACTTTTCAGGGTAAACGATTCTAGCAACACTCAAGTCCTCTCGATGGAAAGCTCTCCAGAGAGTCTATCTGCTTCGTTTTATGTCCTGGATAACGATGTTCTACTGTAGTGCAGTGATTCATAAAGCTGATAATTGCTAAATATTTTTTTTGGAGGGCGACTTACGAGTAAATCAAAATTCCCCAATAACTTATCTCTAAAATCCCAGCATTTGTGGTGTTACATCATTAGGCATTCGATTAAGTCCTCTTTCACCCCTATCTCTTTCCCCATCTGTCAGTCAAGTCTCGTAAATTGTCAATGTCCAACTCCGGCTACGCTGGACCTCACGCTGTCCCTCGAAGACTTTCAGAAACACTTTGTATTGATCAACGCGAAGACCAGAACACTGATTGGCAATTCAAGAATCCTTTATTCTTACGCCAGCATAAAACCAACAGTAAGGTTATTATACAGAAGTTCTAAGAACAAATGTTATAACAATAAATCACGATAATACTTCTGATAGTTTTTATTCTTCCTTTGAACGGCGAACGATGAGACGATGACTGTCGGATTGATGACCCGTGGAAAATATGGAGGTGTTGGGTTTGAGCAAACAACCACGAATTGATCGTTCAATCTTTAACTACATTGACACCATCCTTGTTTTAAGAGACTTCCCTACAATAACTGTAGTTACTAACCGGGGATTTTGGTACTAGTTGTTTGAGCAAGAGGTAAGGGACTGTAGGAAAAAAATTGTTTGGAATATCACCCATGAACAATCAAATCATAATATTTATGCTTATTTGAATTTTCCATCTAATTTTGTATTTAATATCTGTTTTCCTCCCAGATTGGATATCACTAATTTGACATTTGCATGTCATATGTTTATTATCAGTCCTCGTCCCTGTTTAATCCACAATTTTAACGCTCCGATTTGTGATTGTATGTACACTGATGTGTTCTACGATGTGACTTTGTCTGAGTGACACAATGTCATTCTAAACTTAGACTGTTTGAGTTAACTAATTTTGTCCCAGATTGCTTGTTTCTGCTCAATAATCTCCATCGTCTGTATGGCTGACTTGTGGCACTGTCCAGGTAGTTAAAAGTTTTAATTTTATTATCGTTGATTAAAACCACACGCAAATGCAACAACATACGATCGTATTTTTGCTGCCTTTGGAGCGTTTTGTGATTGTGCTTTTTTCTAGGACGTTTTCACTTTCCAGTAAGATCCAAGGATGGATTCTGTGCATTTAGGCCACAGCAAATCGGGTTTGGTTACTGGAAGGACACTTACGATTTCGGATACACTTCACAAGTGTTTCGCCCTCACATGAATCATGTGCAGTTTTAGTGCTTGTGCAGAGGAAATGACTACTACACGAGAAGCCCATAAATTCTTGGGAACAGATGACTCTACCATTTGTCATGCATTCCGTTATCACCGGATCACTGTGTGTGCTTTACAAATCTTTCTCAGCCCTTGTGATTCTTCACGGCTTGTTATTTTCACAGTGCAGTGGGATGCGGGATTGACACTGAAAAATGTTGTACCCGAATTACTTCCTGGAGGAGTTTCCTGATAAGCAACAACCAATAATAGAAGTTGTTTTCTGATTATTACACGAAACAATTCCTGGATGATAATGTCATGTGGAACGATAAAACACTATGTGAACCTCCATGAACAGTTAACTGACATCAACATACTGTCAAGCTGATTTGTCAATAGACTCGGAGCAGATAACCAGAGTTTTGTGAAGGGATGTTGAACATGGTGGAGAGTACTCTATCTTGTATTTGATTCGTGATACAGTCCCTTATAAGGCTTTTCGATTACTTTGTTCCCGTGGGAGTTCAAAGAAATTTTTTTGATTACAGCTTGATTCCATATTGTATTTTTGGTACACCGACGCACATACTTCTTTTAAAAGGATGATCTGAAGACCTCCCTACTAGCAACAATCACGCGTCCGAGCGAGCCTGATTATGGATCGTCGCAGGCTTCAATGCGCCGAAGTGCAAATGCGAGCCTCCACCTGTGGCCAGGGCATTCATGATCACCCTGGTCCCGGCGAAGTAAAGTCCTTCTCTCGCAACAGCCCTTCATTACAAACAGACGTGAAGAAAATGAAAAGCAGTGCAGGTTCAACTTTAGGATCGCCTCAAGCTTGTCCCAAAATTATTGATAAATTATTTACTGAAGATCTGAGGTCAGTGAAATTTTCACACCTATTTAGGTAATTCAGTGTTTTGGACTGACTGCTACTTTAAGCCGCCCTATTACAACGACTACTGTTGTGGTCCAGAAATTTAAAGCTGCAGAGTAACAATAGTATGAGTGTTTCGGATAGTGTACGCATGACTCTCAATGAACACAAAAACTGACATTCTTCAACCAAAAGTTCGAAACAAAACTGAAGCTGTCCGAATAGATGTGAATATAAACCAAATTTGTTGAGCATTAGCAAGATTTATTATTCTATTTAACAAAATGTACCAAGTAATTACAAAACAAGCGTTCAACTATGAGGTTATCAAGCATCCAAATGCTAAGAGCACAATGTTTGAACACTAGGGTGAGCGGTTAACGAAAATGTGCATTCAAATTAAAACTGAAGCTGACCAAAATGAACTAGGAGTGGCCTGACTTACACAAAAGTGTAAGATGGAACATAAAATACAACTTTAGTAATTTGAGGGAAGAGTATGCAAAGTAACAGTGAGAAACGGAGGTAATCTAGAGTAGTTAAATATAAGGAAACACTAAGAGTCGTCAGAAGGTTATGTGCAATGCATATACGCATCCTTATCTGATGGTCACGTCACAAACGATGCCCTACAGACTTTAGAGTCATTCAAGCGAAGAAATACATACATAATGGGTAGATAACTACGGAAGAGTTATGACTTTCCATGAATTGCAGCATTTCACTTCTCAGTGAACTTCGACTGATAGATTAATATATTTCAGTGTGTCTGACTTGGTTATGTCGCCTCACATACATACTGGAAATGGTACTATCTAGAGAATTAATTAACGAAGTTACTGATCCTTGTGAAAATCACTACTGAAGCTAACAATTTCGCGTTTTTATTTCATTGAGGATAGTAATTGTTCTACATAATTCGTACATCAATAGGTGTCTCAGAATAACAATCACCCCAATAGTTTAGGTATATTACCTGGTAAGAGCAAGATAAAAACTAGAGAATTTAAATTATTCACATTTTCATCTCATTCAAAATATTGGTCTAATAGAACCTAAATTACACCAGTGATTTTGTTTGAACCAACCAGTATTTGCGCCTTGTGACAACAACTAACGAGTGCGCTTTTCAAAATAGCAACATGTAGGGTTTTGGAAAATTGTGTGTACACATGTTAATGTGGAGTTGTTTAACTTTATTATGCTTACGTTTGTGTTTAAAGTAGGTTTTAAACTAATAAATTCATGAAATCGCTTTATTAAAAGTACACCAGTAAAAAATTAACATGTTAATTTTCATAATATATATCAATAGCTATAGCTATCAAAGGTGTTTGTTGATCGTGTTGACTATCGATTTGATTGAGCTTGATGGCAGTATGTTATATGGGTGTAGGATCTTAAACTCAAGCTTACAATAATTTTAATTAAATTCTAACTTAAGTTGGAATAATTACTTGTTGATAATGCCTTTTTATGGTAAATGAGTATTTTACCTACCAAAAATGAATACACTAGATTCTGAAATAACACGGTGTCCAATATCCAATATATCCAATATCCTGATTACGAGCTAGTATAAACCAGTGATTTCTTTGAGCTCGCTTCTTGATTGTGAGGTAGAGGTTCCAGATCTTCGGTGAGCTTCTGCGTAGTAAGTCCCGACACTCGACTGCTTTAGCTCTGGTAGACTCCAGGAGGAGTGGTGCGGGGATTGGTCGAGATGTGGTTTGTAGTATGCAGTATGTTAGGACTGTATTGCTGCCGTGAATGGAGTTTGACCTAACTCCCCTTGGTCATTCGGTGTAGTCATAAAAGCAGAATAGTAATAATAATAATAATAGGTTGTAGTGTAGATAATATAGGTTGAGATAAGTGGAATAATAAAGGTGACCTAAGGAAAAGATAGAGTGAGAGAAGGCAGAATAGGTCGTGGGGATTTAGTTTGTACGCTTATTCATTGACAGTGTGGTTTCAAATTTTATGAGGATAAGCCATTGAGACACAAACCTTGCATTTCTGCATGATTGTCTAGCTTCCGCTTAAAAATCTCCAGAGATGGCGCTGTAGTCACGGCCGCCGGTAAAGCGTTCCAGAGACGGCAAACACGAAGCGAAAAGAAATGTGATCGCACTCGAGTCTTTGGTCTCTGGTGTGCTATCCTTAGCGGGTTACCTCGTGGAAGCCTATAATCGCTTAATGGCAGGATGCTTTTATTTGGGTGGGCCTGGTCATTTAGGATCTTGTAGACGGTGATGAGGTCTCCCCTGTGCCTACGGTAACTAAGTGTGAAAAGACCTAATTTCTTTAGTCTTTCCTCATATGATTTGTTGCGGAGGCCGATCACCCATTTTGTCGCTCGTCTCTGGACACTTTCTAGAATGTTAGCATCCCTTTTGAGTAGCGGAGGTGCAATGATATTATGCACCTCAAGGTGTGGCCTCACATATGCCTTGTATAGCCTTAAGAACAGTTCGGGAGTGAGAGCTCCCAGCTGCCTGTGCATAAAGTGTAATGTTGCGTAGGCTTTGGCGACGTCCCTCGAGTAATTTCCACTGGTGTCTAGCTTTTCTGTTAGAATAAGACCTAGATCACGCTCTGATGGAACACAACTCAAGTTCTGGCCACCAAGGGTGTAATTTACACTCTGTGACCTGCCGGAATGAAGCTGCACTACTTTGCACTTCTTTAGATTGAAAGGCATTCCGTTAGCCAAAGCCCAATTTCCCAGAGTTTGCAGGTCAGCCTGCAATCTATCTGAGTCTTCCGATGAGTTTATTGCTCTCCAAATCTTTACGTCGTCAGCGTAAAGAAGCGCAGAGCAGTTTAGTTGGGGGGGCAGGTCATTGATAAAAATCAAAAACATCAACGGCCCTAGGATAGAACCCTGAGGAACCCCTGATGCCGAGGTGTGCCAGGATGATCGGATGCGGTTGACTTTGGTGCAGAATTCTCTCTCGCCTAAGTAATCTGTCAGCCATGCGAGAAGTGCTCCAGAAACTCCCGCCTTGCCTATTTTGTGAAGGAGCAGACCATGGTGAACTGTGTCGAATGCTTTCGCAAAGTCGAGAAAGATCACGTGGGCTGGTACCTTTTTGTCCCAGGATAGTGTCCAATCGTTCCAGGCTAGTAGAAGATTCGTCACGCAGGATCTTCCCCTCCTGAAACCGTGCTGTGCTTCGTGAAGAAGGTTAGTCCCATCGAAGTATTTTCTCATGTGGTCGTCAATGAGACTTTCCAATATCTTCGATACCACTGGAAGTAGAGCAACTGGTCTGTAACTGGTCACATTCTGCCGGTCACCACCCTTGAAGATAGGGGATAGGATTGCACGTTTCCATTCACATGGAAGTTTCCCTACATCAAGGGAGTGTTGGAACAGATCACTTAGGGGTTGACAGAGACTTTCTGAACACTGCTTCAGGACAGATGGTCTGATGCCATCACAACCTGGAGACTTTCCCGAAGCCAACCTTCCCAATTTTGCAAGTACCATAGCCGGGGTAATTTGAAATGTCCCCAGCAGGTTTTCGTGTGTTGGTTTTGCGATGTAATCTGGATGTTCTGTAGGGGTAATATCCTCGTTACTATTTAGTTGCCTGTGAAAGGCTAGGCTGAATGTCTCTGCCATTTCAAGACTAGTAAGAGATTTCCCATCAGAACCCACTAGATTGCATGCTCCCTGGTTGGTCGGTTTTCTTTCGGCCATAAACCTGTATAGGCTTTTGGGGTTCACGAGAAGCTTATTGGCGAGGTCTCCCTGAAATGTCCTTCTATCGCTCCGGACTCGTATGTTACATCGATTCCTGAGTTCAAGGTACACTTCATATTCGGGTTGACTCTTCGATCGTCGCCACGCGAACCAGGCTTTTCGCTTTGCCTGCAGAAGGCGTTGTGTCCCCTTTTCAGCCATGATCGTTGCTTCCTAGCTTTTGGTGAGACTAAAGGAACAGTGTCTGAGACCGCCTGGTGAATGATCTCCTTTACCACTCTCCAGTGTTCTTCTACTGTTAGCTCTGTCCATTTTTTAGGCCAGTTTGCTTCAGACAGAAGTCTTCGCATTTTGGTAAAGTTGGCTTTGTTATAACACAGATAGGGCTGTGTATTGTCCCACTGTAAGCGCTCGCGGAGGACTATGTCGAATACTATGACCGCGTGGTCACTACTACCTATGGGAGTCGTGATCTGAACGTTTTCCACTAGTAGCTGGTCACTAGTGAGCACGTAATCCAGTCTAGAAGACTTCCCATCAGGGCCCCATCTAGTATCCATCTTGACATTTTCAGTGAATCCAGCCTTCCTGATGGTATGCAGCAGATTTCGATCAAATCTATCATGGGCTTTTCCCGACACCAAGTTAAGAGATGGGGCATTGAAGTCACCAGCTATGACAATTTGATCATAACCCATGTCTTGAGTCGCTGAAATTGTATTTAGCAGTACCTGGTTGTGGTCTGCTCCACATGAAGGTGATCGATAAATGCTGCCCACTAGATATTTGCAGTACCCAACGGTGAAGTGGCACCATATGGAGTCAGGGAGCTCTGTGAGGGGAGGGTCCGTCGCGTGAACACATCTGAGCTGTTTGTCGACGTATATGGCGACTCCACCTCCTTCTTTCAGGTCCCTATCTCGCCTGACTAGGACCATATCATTTATACTGACTTCGCTGTCTGCCACCGTAGGGGTTAGCCAGGTTTCCGTCAGTATTATGATTTTGGAGTTTAGTTGTGATTGTAGGTGTCTAAGTTCAGCTATTTTGCCTCTTAGCCCTCTCACATTACTATACAGGCAACTGGTAGTCAGTCTCACCACTTCCCCGTATTGGGGGGTAGTTGACTTGATATTGGCTATCGGTTGAGGAGTTATCCTACGAACTAGTTGGCCGATTCCCCAGGAACCGGCCTGTTGGCGTTTTTTTCTTCTAGTTCAGTTGGAGCACTCGGATGACACTGGCTATCATCGTCCGTGCTGCACCGCTGTAGTGTGACTAGGGGTTGAGGATTTTCTTTTACTACGCTTTGTTCTCTCCTTTGAGTGCGAGGCCGGCTCTCGCAGCAGCGAATGTGTTTGCTGACCTTGTCCTTGGTCTCGTACCATCTATGGAGAGCGGTAGTCAACTGGTCTTGGGAGCTGAACTTGACAGCTAACAGACGTGGCGAGTTAATTGACATAAGATGAGTGGGTCGAGGCAGTCTATAAATAGAGACAGCCCCTGAACTTCCCAGGGCCATCTGGGATGCTAACCATCTCCATTGTTGTACATCATGACAATGCTTTTCGCAGGCGTTCCCAGTTACCAGTTCGGGAATGCCATGCACAACCATGGAGGCAGAAGGAATGAGCTCTGGCGACTCCCTCGCCATTTGTCTTTCCTTCCACGGCCTGTCTGGCTTAACACGTATGTTACAGGCCCTCCCTATAGAAAGGACTTGAGAAGCCAGTAACACTTTTTCAACATCCTCGGTAGAGCTCAATGTTACCCTCAGTGGGGATGGTTTGCCTTCAGGTGCAGCAGTGCCCCTATACAATCTGCATAGATTTACTGGTTGGATGTCCAAACCCAGTGTGCTACTTAAGATGGACCACTGTTCCTGATCAAATAGGGCCCTATCTTTCAGCAGACTACTGCTACAGTCTGGTACATTAAAGAGGATTACACAATTTGATCTGCTAACCGTGGGCTTGGGCTCGGTCCTCGCACGTTTGTGATCACCTTTAAGACCGTTTTGGTTTGACTGGTGCGACTGGGTATTTTTATGTGTCTCAGTGCTATAGCCAGCATTACTGATAGACGGTTGGGGTCTTTTTCCAACGACGGAAACCCGTGGTTCTCCAGCCTCTGTGTCTGGAGCGGTTATGGCAAGAGTTACAAGTTTAACCGGTGAGGATTTTGGTATCCCCGGTTTACGCGCGTTTGTACTAACTTCCGGATTGGTGGGGGTCGAGCTTTTCACCTTTTTCCCCGCTACTTCTGTGCCATCTTTAGTTTTCAAAGGACTACGCGAGGCTACATCAGGACGGCAACTCGGGCATATGTACCAGAACCATTGGCATGGGTTTTTACGCATAAAGTCATAATATGCTTTTGGTACCCCACTGTCGCATCTGCAATGCACCCATCGGTTGCAAAAGTTACATTCGAAAGCAGAGTCTGCTTGTTCGACAACAGAAGCACAGACCTTGCAGTCGTCTGTCTTCTTGGGGAGCGTTCTTGTCGTC